AGACCTCTGTTCTAGATCATCACTGAAATACACTGCTCCCAGTACTGAGAACAGTAAGCGATTTCATGAGAGAATGAAAATCATAGTGCTAAATTTTAAGGGTATTAAAGTTTACCTACAAAAAATACAAAATAAACAAAATAAGGTGACATTATTTACTCTGTGTGATGTGTCCCTTGAGCTTCCATCTTCTAGTTCAGTTGAAATCCTTCTCCTTCTATAAAAAAATATGTATTTTGTATTGTGTAAGTATACCTTTGTTTATTTAAAAAAAAAAACTATTGAAAAAGAAATCCTTCTCCTCCGATGCCCTCCTCCTCCCCACTGCCATAATCTTCTGGAGCTTCGGGGGTTAATAGAACTAAGGAACTGTCACAGGCTTTCATCAATAGTGTTGAATATGCCCACTCTCTCTGTTCAGAGCCACCATTCATAAAAGCCATTATTACAGCTTCTATGAATGAAACAGGGGCTATGAATAGAGGACAAGTGGATGGTTGAAAAGTCCATCCCCCTCCATTCATAGATCATGCTTTATCCATAGAAGCTTTAGTAATGGCTTCTATGAATGGACCAGCTGAATGGAAAGGGTGGGCATAGTCGAGTACTCTTGATGAGAGCCTGTGACAGCTCTTTAATCCTATTAACCCCCTGCAGCACAGGAAGATTACAGTGGCAGGGGGTAGGGGGGCATCGGAGGACTAAAGATTTCTACTGAACAAAAAGAAGCACAAAAGACACATCACACTGAAGGTAAGTAATGTCCCTCATGTTTATTTTGTATTCTTTTTTAGGTAAAACAAAGGCTTTAAAGTCGGCCATAGATGGATCGAATTTCAGCTGGTTAAGTAGGGACCGGCTGAGATTCAATCCATCTATGGGCAGGCTGGTTGTACTGAAGTCGATCCAACGATCATCTTTAGTACAACCAACCTGTCAGATTTTTTGCATGCAATTACTGCCAGCGGCTATAGTTGCCAGCAGTAATCATTGGGTTCCCTGCTGGCAGGAGGGATTCCCCCATCAACACTGTGTTGATGGGGGAATCTAGCGATTTTCTTTCCTGCAACCTATGGTTGCAGGAAAGAAAATTGCATAGTCTATGTCTTGCCTAAGATTCACTGAGGACTTTCCTGACAATAAAACAACACAAGCTGATGGATTTTGATGAACAGAAGCCAAACTGACAGATCCTGACAGTGATAAGTATGTCTGGTAGCTATGTGTGATTTGTTTTGTTTTGATTTGTTTTTTAGACAAAAATTTAATCTCCAGAGATTTGGATGTATACAATTTTCTGAAGGGACACAGAAACGAATGGCAACAAATCCAAAAAAAAAGTTATAACGAAATTAACAAATTAATTTGCTTCATTCAGATGACGTCACATGATGCGATAGTAGTTTGAGCCTATGAGGAAATTAATGAAATTTTCGAATTTGTTTGATAATTTGGATAATTTGGAAAATTAATGGATGTGAATTTTGTTCCTTTTTGTTATTTGGATGCACATGAGGCCAGAGATATTGTCCAATCAACTCAGTCTAAAAATCAACTACTGGCTGAAAAAATATCGAATTTGTTTGTTAGGAATCCAGTTGGTTTGTGGCGGAACCGTTCCGCCTGGGCTTCCTCGTGCGGAGCAGTGCGTCTCACCAATGGTCCTCATTTCCGGCAAGTCTTCCAGCATTCTCCCAAGGCAGGTATTATAGCTAAAAACACGAGTCAGAACTTCGTGTAGGGTGAAACTGACAATCTTTATTAAACACAGCTCAGTATATACAACTTCACCCCCACCCCCACCAGACAGACTGGCACCAGGTTTTCCCCACCCACAACAAACCATACAATACAACAATACCTAGGAACTCTATAGAAGTGAAAGACTACAGGGTCACATTTCCCTAAACAAACAGTGTAGAATGTCTGTGAAACATGTCCACCTTTACAAAGGGGATAAAAACCAAAACAGAAAGGGCAAAATGGTATCACAAAGGGACAATTCGTCACAAGGCTCCCCCGTTGTGTAACACCCGCCAGACCCGGCGAGACCTTCAAACAGGTCCGCTTGGGGCTGGTCGGTTCAGAGGTTCACTTCTCCAACTCAGCTTGCCGGGACAACCCATCTGCATTGGCGTTTTGCTTCCCCGATCGGTACTGGTTGAGCTTCAGCAGGGGTCTCGGTGCCAAAAAGTGGAGACCAGGACTCCCAGATCATTTCCAAGGAGAACCTCAGCTGGCAAGTTCTGCATTACTCCAATTTCAACGTCCCTGACCCCGGCCCCCCAATCCAGATGAAGCCTTGCGGTAGGAATCTGGTAGACATGGCCTCCCGCTACCCGTAACGCCACAGATCGCCCGGTCTTGGCCCAGTCTGGTACCAGTTGAGGTTGGACTAGGGTGAGTGTGAGGGCCGTTAACATGGACAACCTGTTGGTGGTGTCGGCGATTGTCCGGGGTGGCAGCCTGGAGAGGGTTAGCCTCATGAAAGACCCCGATGTCCTCATCCTCGGTGGTAAAATTCCTCCATGAAGAGGCGGTGTCACTCGGGTGGTTCTGTAGAGAGTAGGCAGAGGCTCGGCCATAGGGAGTGGTAGGTCGGTTGGAAGTGCCCCGAGGGGGTTGGCTGCTCTGGAGTCTTGGTGGATTCCTGTCATGTGTGACTGATGCAGGGAAACGCAGACTTCAGAAATGTGATAAACAATATAATTTATTAACACTAACCATACAAACATAAACGCAGGGCAATACTAAACATAATACAGTGCAAACAAACCAAACCAACCACCCACAGATAACAGTACATACAAGCAAGCGTCGTCAGGCAGGCCGGGTCAATATCAATTGGGCAGGTAGGTACGGGGGGAGCAAGCAGAGAATGGTCGGGGTCACAGGCCAGGTTCAGCAGGTAGCAAGCAGCGAGGTACAGAGGGTCAGACAGAGGGGTGGTCAGGGTCACAAGCCAGGATCAGAGCAGGAGAAGTCAGCAGCAGTTCAGATCAGGGTCAGCGAAGGAACAGAAACAGGATGCAGGACAGATACAGGGCCCAGGACAAACACAACACCAAGGCAGAGTCTGCAAGTCTGGCCATCCCTTAAATACCCCAGTATCATCAGTTCCAGGTGTTAGCTGGCTGAAAGGTTGAGTCTCTGATTGCTGGGAGCACCCGCTGGCCAGCCCTGGTACTGCAGATCAAAAGGCAGGTGAGTCCCACCATTGCTGGCCAGTCCATTCCTAACAGTACCCCCCCCTCAAGGAGCGGCCTCAGGACGCTCCAAACAGTCCTAGCTGGGCAAAATGTTCCACCGCCCGGGTCTGGCAACTGGCGGGATAGCAAAGACTGGCACACCGGGCAGGACTCCGGGCAGCGGCACACCGGGCTGGACTCCGGGCAGGGCATCGAGCAGAGGCACATCGGGCAGAGCAGCAGGCACTCCGGGCAGAGGCACACCGGGCAGAGGCACATCGGGCAGGACTCGGGCAGAGGCACATCGGGCAGAGGCACATCGGGCAGAGGCACATCGGGCAGAGGCACATCGGGCAGACTCCGGGCAGGCACATCGGGCATCGGGCAGAGGCACATCGGGCAGAGGCGGGCAGAGGCATCGGGCAGGCACTCGGGCAGAGGCACATCGGGCAGGACTCCGGGGGCAGAGGCACATCGGGCAGGACTCCGGGCAGAGGCACATCGGGCAGGGACCCGGGCAGAGGCACATCGGGCAGGACTCCGGGCAGAGGCACATCGGGGGAGCAGCAGGCATCGGGGCGGGCACCGGGGCGGCACCGGGCCCCCGGGCGGGGGCAGGCACCGGGCCCCCGGGCGGGGCGGCATCGGGCACCGGGCCCCGGGGGCGGCAGCGGCAGGCACCGGCCCCCGGGCGGGCGGCAGGCACCGGGCAGGCACCGGCACCCCCGGGCGGAGCAGGCACCGGGCCCCCGGGCACCGGGCCCCCGGGGGGGCAGGGCAGGCACCGGGCCGGGCGGAGCAGCAGGCACCGGGCCCCCGGGCGGAGCAGCAGGCACCGGCCCCCGGGCGGGGCAGCAGGCACCGGGCCCCCCGGGGGGGGCGCAGGCACCGGGCCCCCGGGGGGCACAGGCATCGGCCCCCAGGCGGGGCGACAGGCATCGGCCCCCAGGGCGGGGCGACAGGCATCGTGCCCCCAGGCGGGGCGGCAGGCATCGGGCGACAGGCATCGGCCCCCAGGCGGGGCGGCAGGCCGTGCCCCCAGGCGGGGCGACAGGTCTCGGGCCCCCAGGCGGAGCGGCGGGCGCCGGACCCCCAGGCGGAGCGACAGGTCTCGGGCCCTCAGGCGGAGCGGCGGGCGCCGGACCCCCAGGCGGAGCGACAGGTCTCGGGCCCTCAGGCGGAGCGGCGGGCGCCGGACCCCCCGGACAGGTCTCGGGCCCTCAGGCGGGCGCGGACCCCCAGGCGGAGCGACAGGTCTCGGGCCCTCAGGCGGAGCGGCGGGCGCCGGCTCCCCCCCCCAGGCGGAGCGACAGGTCTCGGGCCCTCAGGCGGAGCGGCGGGCGCCGGACCCCAGGGGAGCGACAGGTCTCGGGCCCTCAGGCGGAGCGGCGGGCGCCGGACCCCCAGGTGGAGCGACAGGTCTCGGGCCCTCAGGCGGAGCGGCGGGCGCCGGACCCCCAGGATGGAGCGACAGGTCTCGGGCCCTCAGGCGGAGCGGCGGGCGCCGGACCCCCAGATGGAGCGACAGGTCTCGGGCCCTCAGGCGGAGCGGCGGGCGCCGGACCCCCAGTGGAGCGACAGGTCTCGGGCCCTCAGGCGGCAGGCGGCGGGCGCCGGACCCCCAGGTGGAGCGACAGGTCTCGGGCCCTCAGGCGGAGCGGCGGCGCCGGACCCCCAGGTGGAGCGACAGGTCTCAGGCGGGACCCCCAGCGGAGCGACAGGTCTCGGGCCCCTCAGGCGGGGCGGCGGGCAGGCCGGATCCCCAGGCGGGAGCGGCAGGGCTGGCTGGACCCCCAGCGGAGCAACAGGTCTCGGGCCCCCAGGCGGAGCGGCGGGCACCGAGTCACCAGGCACGACAGTGGGCTCCGAGTCAACTGGTATGACCGCAGGCACTGGGTCAGACATTGTATGGTCTGGCTGGACAGCGGGCATCGGGTCACCAGGCATCAGGTCATTTGGCTCGACAGCGGGCACCGCGTCATCTGGCAAGGCAGTGGGCTCCGAGTCAACTGGTATGACCGCGGGCACTGGGTCAGACATTGGATCGTCTGACTGGACAGCGGGCACATCGGGTCACCAGGCATCAGGTCATTTGGCTCGACAGCGGGCACCGCGTCATCTGGCAAGGCAGTGGGCTCCGAGTCAACTGGTATGACCGCGGGCACTGGGTCAGACATTGGATCGTCTGACTGGACAGCGGGCACTCTGGGTCACCAGGCATCAGGTCATTTGGCTCGACAGCGGGCACCGCGTCATCTGGCAAGGCAGTGGGCTCAAGTCAACAAGTCAACTGGTATGACCGCGGGCACTGGGTGGGTCAGACATTGGATCGTCTGACTGGACAGCGGGCACTGGGTCACCAGGCATCAGGTCATTTGGCTCGACAGCGGGCACCGCGTCATCTGGCAAGGCAGTGGGCACCGGGTCACCAGGCATTGGATCGTCTGGCTCGACAGCGGGCATCGGGTCACCAGGTATGACAGCGGGCACTGGGTCACCAGGCATCAGGTCATTTGGCTTGCCAGCGGGCACCGCGTCATCTGGCAAGGCAGTGGGCACCGGGTCACCAGGTATGACAGCGGGCTCTGAGTCAATTGGCACGACAGCGGGCACTGGATCAGGTACCGGATCATCTGGATCAACAGCGGGCATCGAGTCAACTGGCCTAATAGGATCGTCGGGCTGGATCAGTTCATCATGCTGAGTAGCGGCATCAGCTGAATGCAGGCATCAGGCATCAGGCTCAGGAGAGGCTTCAGGCTGAGGAGAGGCTTCAGGCTGAGGAGAGGCAGGCTGAGGAGAGGCTTCAGGCTGAGGAGAGGCTTCAGGCTGAGAGAGAGGAGGCTGAAGAGAGGCATCGGCTGAAGAGAGGCATCAGGAGAGAGGCATCCGGCTGAAGAGAGGCATCCGGCTGAGAGGCATCCGGCTGCTGAGAGAGGCATCCGGCTGAGAGAGGCATCAGGCTGAGTAGAGGCTTCAGGCTGAGTAGAGGCTTCAGGCTGAGTAGAGGCTTCAGGCCGAGTCACGGAAGGCAGGCTCACCGGTTTGGATACTGGCAGGATGGTATTGGTTGGAAAGAATTTTCGCTTTTTTCTGGTTTTAACTACTGGAGCACTGCAAGTAAACGCAGGTCTGCAAACGAATGGAGCACCTGGAGACAGAGAAAAACTGGAGGATGGAACAGGAGAGGGAGCAGTTGCTACAGAGGGCTCTTTTACAGGGTTAAAGGCAGGATAGGTGCAGCGAGTGGGAACAGGGGACTGACATGCGGTAGATAGCAGGGCAGGAGGAGCTGGTGGGAATACAGGAGTAGAGTTAGAAGCAGGACTGGGTCTTTGTAAGCTGACTGAGGCTGGGTGCAACAAGTCTGTCCATGTCTGCAGTAGGGGTTGAACAAAGCTGAGCTTACACAAAGCCTGTCTGGTCAATGACTGCACTGCGTTGATACAATCTCTTAGTGTCTGTGGTGAACATGTGGTGGAGTAACGCTCCAAAAGGTAACCCACATCATCCTCTAATAACCACACCAGGGACTCTACCTGGTCTGCACTAAATGGTGGCAAAAATTCATCCCTGCATTCGGGGGAACCAGATGAAACCAACTCTGCACAAACCTCAATCAATGGCTGCACCTCAGAGAACACTGTGCCCTGATCTACTAGAACATGAGCGAGCCGTATACATTCTAGCAATTCATCCCGGGTATACTCCTTCAGAGTTTGATAAGCATACTCCCTGTCATCAAACACTAGCAGATATAAATACTCAACCTCATCAAGATCCATCCTTCCCATCAACAAGCCAAGATGGCTTCCCTGTGCAGCCACTTCTGGTCAGGATTGGCCTTGGTGTAATGTCAGGGCTCCCAGGTATGACCAGAGATGTGTGACTGATGCAGGGAAACGCAGACTTCAGAAATGTGATAAACAATATAATTTATTAACACTAACCATACAAACATAAACGCAGGGCAATACTAAACATAATACAGTGCAAACAAACCAAACCAACCACCCACAGATAACAGTACATACAAGCAAGCGTCGTCAGGCAGGCCGGGTCAATATCAATTGGGCAGGTAGGTACGGGGGGAGCAAGCAGAGAATGGTCGGGGTCACAGGCCAGGTTCAGCAGGTAGCAAGCAGCGAGGTACAGAGGGTCAGACAGAGGGGTGGTCAGGGTCACAAGCCAGGATCAGAGCAGGAGAAGTCAGCAGCAGTTCAGATCAGGGTCAGCGAAGGAACAGAAACAGGATGCAGGACAGATACAGGGCCCAGGACAAACACAACACCAAGGCAGAGTCTGCAAGTCTGGCCATCCCTTAAATACCCCAGTATCATCAGTTCCAGGTGTTAGTAACAGTTCCTCTAGCTTGGTGATCTGACACCCTCGGACCCAGCTGCTGGCAGTGTGTTGTAACTGATGTCCCCATTCAGTGAAGGTGTCCTGGGGTTTCTTCTTGAGTGTCCGGAACTTTAAGCGATACGCCTCTGGGGTGAGAGCATAGCGGGCCAACAAGTGTTCCTTAACAAAATTATAATCCAAGCAGTAGCTGTCGGGTACAGTCCTGAATGCGTCTGCAGCCCGACCGGTTAGCTTGCTGCTCAAAATGGGGACCCGGTCTTGGCTTGCCACACCATGGATGGTGCACAAACGTTCAAAGTCCTGAAGAAAGCTATCAATGTCCCCATCCACCTCTGAGAAAGTTTTAAAAGCAGCGTAGGGAATTTTCTTTGGTCCGTTTGCAGTCTGGAGAAGGCAGGAGGTAATCCTCTCCCAGACCGAGTCCTCGGTTGATGACCGGGAGTGACTAAGCCGCAGTTGGGTGGCATCGTCCAGGGCCTTGGAAATCTGTTCAGGGGTGGGAGCGCTCCCAAACAGAGACAAATGCCACTCCACCTCTTGTCGTAAATCCGAATGGTATAGGGGTCTCTGTACAGTGCTAAGTGGGCCTGGTGTTTCAGGGGCCGATGAGCTGCTCTGTTCCTCCAACTCCTCCTGTGAAGCACAGTTCACTTCTGGTGGAGCAGTGTTCGCTTTAAGCGTAGCGGAGTGTGCATCAGGTGAAGTGGGGTGCGCATCCGCTTGGTCCAGGGCCATAATCTCGTCCAACAGTTCCTCTCTGGTCTTGGAGCCAGCGATACCTCCCTGAGCGACAAGCATGCTTTGGAGGGCTTGCTTCCGGAGGTCCCGTATATCCATGTGGCTGAGCAGGGATGTCTCCGTAAAAAAGATGGGGTCCCGGTTGGTGGTTTGGACTTTCTCCGCAATGAGGAAAGATCCCACCGCTGCCAACCAATTGTGGCGGAACCGTTCCGCCTGGGCTTCCTCGTGCGGAGCAGTGCGTCTCACCCAATGGTCCTCATTTCCGGCAAGTCTTCCAGCATTCTCCCAAGGCAGGTATTATAGCTAGAGACACGAGTCAGAACTTTGTGTAGGGTGAAACTGACAATCTTTATTAAACACAGCTCAGTATATACAACTTCACCCCAACCCCACCAGACAGACTGGCACCAGGTTTTCCCCACCCACAACAAACCATACAATACAACAATACCTAGGAACTCTATAGAAGTGAAAGACTACAAGGTCACATTTCCCTAAACAAACAGTGTAGAATGTCTGTGAAACATGTCCAGCTTTACAAAGGGGATAAAAACCAAAACAGAAAGGGCAAAATGGTATCACAAAGGGACAATTCGTCACATGGTTCAATAATATATTGAATGTATAGCAATCTTCTGGAAAGACTGCAAAATGTTTCAAATCCACCTAGACCAATGAACATACGAAACGAATGCCGAAGATATGAAACAAATCTGGTCAACATAACGAATATGACTAAACAAATTCTTCAATGAACAAATGCATCTTTGAATGAAACTAAATGAAAATTTCTGGTGTGCACATGTCTAATATCTGGGTCAACTGCCTGGTATGCTGGGCTTTGTCCATCCTTTAACCACATGCCGCCCAGCCACTGTAGAAATACGGCGGCAGGGCGGCACGGCTGGGCAAGACCACGTTTTAAAACGTGTGTTTGCAAAACAGGTAGGGGGCTCGCGCGAGGTGCGCCACCGCCCTACCTGTCCCGCCGATCACGACCGCGGATATCAGTTGCCAGGTCACAGCCAGTCGATACCAGCTGTGTCCCGCCGATTAGCGGCAATCACTGACAGAGAGTAGGGCTGCAGTAGCTCGGCTTTCTGTCAGTTCCCTGTCAGCTCCTGACTTGCTGAGCTGGAGAGAAGAGTTTATCTCTCCCGATCAGCATGTCCCCCGTGGAGTACACACCCCCGCCCCCTAGTAAAACACTCCCCTCACACAGTTAACCCTTTCAGTAAATAAAAAAGTTAACCCTTCCTCCCCAGTGCCATTAGCACAGTGTCAGTGTTTTTTTTTTTTGCACTGATCACTGTATTGGTGTCACTGGGGATGTCAGTGACCCCAAGTCAGTTCCCCCCTAGTGTCAGAATGTCCGCCGCAGTCCCGCCATAAGTCGCTGATCGCCACCATAAGTCACTGATCGCCGCTATAAGTCGCTGATCGCTGCCATGATTAGTATAAAAAAAAAAAAACCCCAGTATCTTTCCCGCCATTTGTAAACGCTATAACTTTCACATAAACCAATTAATTTACACGTATTGGGTTTTTGTTTAGCAAAGACATGTCGCAGAATGCATTTTGGCCAAAATTTATGACGAAATTTGATTTTTTAATTTTTTTTTTACTGGACATGTTTTATAGCAAAAAGTCCAAAAAATATTGTTTTTTTTTTTCTCAAAATTGTCAGCTTTTTTTTTTTATAGCGTAAAAAATAAAAAACGCACAGGCAATCAAATACCACCAAAAGAAAGCTCTATTTGTGTAAAAAAAAGGACATAAATTTTATTTATGTACCATATTGCATGACCGCGCAATTGTCCGTTAAAATAGCGCAGCGCTGTATAGCAAAAAAATGGCGTAAATTTCAGTATCTATACCATAGTTTGTAGACGCTATAACTTTCACGCAATCAATATACACTTATTGGGATTTTTTTTTTACCAAAAACATGTAGCAGAATACATTTTGTCCTAAATTTATAACCAACTTTGAGTTTACTATATATTTTTTAGAGCTGAAAGTAAAAAATATAGTTTTTCTTCAAAATTTTTGGTCTTTTTTTGTTTATAGCGTGAAAAATAAAAAGCGCACAGGTGATCAAATACCACCGAAAGAAAGCTCTATTTTTGTGAAAAAAAGGATGTAAATTTTGTTTGGGTGCAGCATTGCATGACCGTGCAATTATCAGTTGAATTAGTGCAGCGCCGAGTAGCAACAAGAGGCCTGGTCATTAAGGGGGGTAAATCCTCAGGAGGGCAAGTGGTTAAATGACCTCACTGACCATCAGAGAAAGTAATGCTTAAGTTTACACATACGGTAATTCA